ACTGCCTTGAGCTTATTTTCTGCTGCCCCAGAGTGGAATTGGACCAAGAATTTTGCACACTCCCTGTATGCAAAAGACATTAGCATTGTCCAGTCAAGCATATTAGAAATACCGTAGTATTAAAGACAGAGATATATACACATACATCAGCTGATCTTCGCTGTAGCCTGTATGGTGGTTAAGAGTTTCATTCCAAAGGGGAGTTTTGTTAAGAGTGCATCGGGCTGCATAGACTGCAGCTGCAGCAAGCTTTGATGGGCAATACTGGATGATGGTTGAGTAGTTCATCAAACCAAGTTCAGCAAAGAAAAATGCCATGCTCTCCATCTGTGCGCATCAAAATAGAGCTCAATCAACAAGAAATAAACACAAACACAGAGAAATCTTTGTACATGGTCCCGTACTATCAAATCCTTCCCAGCCAAACACACATGCCATTGGATTGATTTACACAAGAAGGTTTTATAGTACAAGTACCTCCTGATCAGCCGGGACAGATGCTTTCGCATATCGAACCAGAAAGACGTATGCAGTTGGAACCGTCAAATACCATTCCAATTTCCCCAGAATTGCTTTCTCCATGAGAAGAACTTGCTCTCTGATATAAGCATTGTCTGATATAGCTATGAAATCACTCACCTTAAAAATAAAAATAAAATTAACACCTCTGATGATGACTAAAAATGACAAATTAAGCCTTTTCACAATAAATTTAAAGTCAGAGATTTATCTAAATCAACCTTAGGTGCCCGTATCTCTTCGTATTTGCATGCAATCAACATTGAGCTGATGCCAACCAACTGAAGTTCCCTTCTTGAAATAGTCCTCATTGAAAGAAAACGGTCAACTACATTGACCGTGAGGTACAGACTTTCACGCATCATTTTAAATTTCTCATGAACTTCAACCAACCAGTCTACAAGGATCTCTCTCATTTTAGAATTGATTTCTGGCTGCGAATCCATATAATCACGAACTCGAGCATCATCCTGATAACAAGAGAACCACATACAAACTAAGTCTTGCTGAGATAAAAATGAGAAAATGAAGAGAAACAGAGAACGGGAAAGAAAATTAGCACACCTCTGCAAGCTTGTAGAACTTGTAGATATCCTCAACATACTCCACTGCTGCCAATTCATTGTCCACATCTGCTGCATCAATGTTAGCTATTGGATCCTTTGGATTCTTGGTAATTCCACAAGCAGCCTGGAAAAATGGAGCAGTTAACAGCAAGAGAAAATGGAGCAATGGGGCTTCAACAAAACAACAAACTAACCATTTTCCTTAAAAATCGTACAACAGTATTTATGTGGTACAATTCTGAATTTTGTGTTCTTGTTTTCAGCTTTTTCCTCCTACAACGTGGCTATTTGACAATATCTGTGAGTATATTGATCAACTTTTCAACATAGTGAGACTGCAGAAACTTTTATATTGAGCCATTGGTGAGTAATGATCATTCTCTTTTTTGATCTTCTTTTAAAATCCGTTGCATATTTTCCGCAGATACAAAGGAAAACAGCTATTCTTTGCTGATTTTAGTTGATTTCATATTACTAATATTTATTTGGTGATATTTATTACTGATTTTAGTCAATTTTAGTCGATTTCATATTACTAATATTTATTATAATGACAACTATCCAATTTTAGTCGATTTCATATTACCAAATAATGTGCACCAAAACAGCTATTCTTTGCTGATTTTAGTAGATTTCATATTACTAATATTTATTTGGTGATATTTATTGCTGATTTTAGTCGATTTTAGTCGATTTCATATTACTAATATTTATTATAATGACAGCTATCCAATTTTAGTCGATTTCATATTACCGAATAATGTGCACCAAAACAGCTATTCTTTGTTGATTTTAGTCGATTTCATATTACTAAAATCAGCAAAGAATAGCTATTTTCCTTTGTATCTGCGGAAAATATGCAACGGATTTTAAAAGAAGATCAAAAAAGAGAATGATCATTACTCACCAAGGGCTCAATATAAAAGTTTCTGCAGTCTTACTATGTCTAAAAGTCGATCAATATACTCACAGATATTCTCAAATAGCTCATCAAACATTGTAGGAGGAAAACGCTGAAAACAAGAACACAAAATTCAGAATTGTACCACATAAATATTGTAGTACGATTTTTAAGGAAAATGGTTAGTTTGTTGTTTTGTTGAAGCCCCATTGCACCATTTTGTCCTGCTGTTAACTGCTCCATTTTTCCAGGCTGCTTGTGGAATTACCAAGAATCCAAAGGATCCAATAGTTAACATTGATGCAGCAGATGTGGACAATGAATTGGCAGCAGTGGAGTATGTTGAGGATAGCTACAAGTTCTACAAGCTTGCAGAGGTGTGCTAATTTTCTTTCCCGTTCTCTGTTTCTCTTCGTTTTCTCATGTTTATCTCAGCAAGACTTAGTTTGTATGTGGTTCTCTTGTTATCAGGATGATGCTCGAGTTCGTGATTACATGGATTCGCAGCCAGAAATCAATTCTAAAATGAGAGAGATCCTTGTAGACTGGTTGGTTGAAGTTCACAAGAAATTTAAAATGATGCCTGAAAGTCTGTACGGGAACTAGGCCTAAGCGATGAGCAACAGCAATTGAATTGAGATTCCATGATGATCTTGCAGAAGTACAAATGGATTTGATGCAGCGTACTGCCATTGGAACGTATGCTTCATATCTTAGCTCTAAGACTGTTTTGCCTTCAACGGTGTCACGAGTTGTGCCGGAAAAAGTTGCTATGGCACTGCATTATGGTGAATGAACATAACTGATGTATTTGATGATGTTAATAGGATTATTCTCTTCCAATATTTCAATTAGATCTCTCTCATCAGCCATATTGACCATTGATTCTTTTTAACAGCAAAGCTTCCTGAAATTATCTTTGCAAAATTCGTTAAAAGATAAGGAGATATTAGAGTGCTAATCTAATAACTTGGATGCAAGTCAACCAACCATCTTCTTGCATAAAACTATAAAAAAGTCCCAAGTTCAATGACAAACGGTGTAAATGTAGACAATAAAACAAAAGTGGTGTTAAACTATTTAGCTTTGTTCTTTCATGAAGTGGCCAGATTAAAAATTTTCTTGTAGTGATTTCAGCATGTTATGCTAAGCTCAAGTAAGCTTTAAAATAAGTAATTTTTTATTGGATCAAAGTTGGAAACATTACTTGTAAAAAAAAAAAAAAAGTAATAAACAAGTTCACTCACTCTTCGTTTATTTTATTGCTAGATTACTAGAGCAGTGACAACAGTATGCCATTTATATTTATAAGGAACTTTATTTAAAAAAAAAACTTATGATTTGACTTTAACTCAAATTAAATGCATCAAATAGACTGTAAAAAATATGATTTGATATTATTTCAACTCAACCTGTTCACTCTTCGCTTTCCCTGCATTCAAGTTTTCCCCAAGAAGAATACAGGTTAAAACTATACTCATTTCTTGAAAAGCATTTTCTAGTGTCATGGTCCAGTGGGGTAAGTGAGATACCTAAACCCACATCGGAAGTGAAAAGCTCCTTTGTGCAGTTTATATAGGCTTGGACTCTCCAACTACAACGACTAGCTTTTGTGGTCTGGTTCTCCCAATTGAGATACATGACATTGGTATCAAAGCAAGCATCATGTCTTTCGGTCTCGGCTCCACTTAGGGTGCATGGGCACCTGCTCGACGTGGACGCCGAGTCGGAAGCGTGGTGGTTTGTCATGGTCCAGTGGGGTAAGTGAGATACCTAAACCCACATTGGAAGTGAAAAGCTCCTTAGTGCGGTTTATATAGGCTTGGGCTCTCCGACTACAACGGCTAGCTTTTGTGGTCTGGTTCTCCCAATTGAGATACATGACATTGGTATCAAAGCAGGCATCATGTCTTTCGGTCTCGGCTCCACTTAGAGTGTATGGGCACCTGCTCGACGTGGACGCAGAGTCGGAAGCGTGGTTGTTTGTCATGGTCCAGTGGGGTAAGTGAGATACCTAAACCCACATTGGAAGTGAAAAGCTCCTTTGTGCGGTTTATATAGGCTTGGGCTCTCGGACTACAACGGCTAGCTTTTGTGGTCTGGTTCTCCCAATTGAGATACATGACACCCGTTGAGATAAGGGTATATAAGCCAATGAAGGGGTGGTCATCCTAAGCAATCTATACACTCCGTACGCTTCATGCTTGTAGTTTTCTAGTTTCGCTCCAGATCTAAGACCATCTCCTAATTCAAGAAAGGGGTGCACCTACCCTTGTAGCATTGCAACAAGAAAATATGTTGTTTTGTGATGGCAAAATTATTATTCACATTTCATATATTTCAACATTTCATTCTAGGAACCTCGTACACCTCATAATCACGGGAGCCAAGTTTGAACATGCTCAGCCTTGGCTTCTTTCCAACATTAGATTCTTACTTGATGACTTGTCAGAGCCTTGTACCATGGATAATTCTTGTTGAACATAATGGGCTACATAAGGGTGTTCATTATGGACACCCTTATGTAGCCCATTATGTTCTTGTAGCATACTCCTTGTACCATATAGGACTTTTCCTATTGTTTGAACCGGAATTAGGTCCAAAGCAAACAGCAGATACCAATCTAATCTCTCCTATAGCACTTCAATTTTGGTTTCATTTCTATGGCAACCCAAATTGAGCACTGTGAAATCCAACCTTCACCTGGCGATGTGAATGAGCTGACACTACCTTTGACATTCTTCGACCTACCATGGTTGTATTTCCATCCAATTCAGCGTCTTTTGTTCTATGAATCCCCTTGTTCGAAGGCCTATTTCTTTGAAACCATCGTTCCAAATCTCAAAGAATCACTCTCCCTCACCCTCGAACATTATATTCCACTAGCAGGCAACATATTGTGTCCATTAAACAATGAAAAGCCTGTGTTGCGCTACATGGTTGAGGACTCAGTTCCTCTAATTATAGCTGAGTCGAATGAGAATTTCAATAATCTTACTGCAAATTACGCACGAGATACAGATCAGTTCTATCCTTCTGTCCCTCAATTGCCACCACCCAAAGAGGAAGCCGAGTACAAAATTATTCGAGTCTTCTGTCTACAACTAACTTTGTTTCCAAATCATGGCCTGTGTATTGGTTTTACCAACCTTCATACTGTTGGGGATGCAAGTTCAATTGTAGGCTTCATAAAGGCATGGGCTTCAATCAGCAAACTTGGTGGAGATTCACAGTTGATTGAAACCAATTCCTTGCCACTCTTTGATAGATCTGTCATTCAAGATCCCAATGGAATAGGAAATTTATGGTGGAATCAATTGAATAATATTCCTATCCGATTTTCATCTCTGCATTCACTTGCCAATAAGGTTCGGAACACGTATATTCTTCACCAAGCTGATATACAGAAACTCAAGGATTCACTTTTTGCCCGAAACCCAGGTTTAGTTCATCCTTCATCTTTTGTGGTTACTGTTGAAAAATGCTTCAGGAACTGCACGTCAACTTTAGTTTTTAAATAATTGTTTCAGATTTTATTATCTTTCTTCCAGTCAAAAGTTGGACCTAGTCTATAGGATCAGTTACAACTTCCAACATTATTGCTTTTAGTTAGCCTATTTTCTAGTTTTTTCAGTTTCCCTCCAGCTATAAATGTAAGGCATGCAATTGAATAAAATTAATTCCCTTTAGCTACTGCTTAGTGCTCGTAACCTGCAGTATTCATTTTCTTCTTTTCTTCTTTCATCTCTAAAAAACCAACATCTGGTATCAGAGCTTATTTCTCAAGGGACCTATGTGAAATAATGGAAGGTGAAGCCAGTTTTTCTCATATTGCTCCTCCTATCTTCGATGGAGAAAACTACCAGCTTTGGGCAGTGAGAATGGAGACTTACCTGGAAGCTTTAGATCTATGGGAAGCTGTGGAAGAGGATTATGAAGTTCCTCCGCTGCCGAACAATCCGACCATGGCCCAGATCAAAATTCACAAGGAAAGAAGAACCAGGAAGTCAAAGGCGAAAGCAACCTTGTATGCTGCTGTTTCAACAACCATTTTCACAAGGATTATGTCTCTCAAATCAGCAAAAGAAGTTTGGGATTATTTGAAGGAAGAGTATGCAGGAGATGAAAGGATAAGAGGCATGCAAGTACTGAATTTAATAAGGGAATTCGAGCTACAAAAAATGAAAGAGTCTGAGACAATCAAAGAGTACTCAGATAAATTGATTGGCATTGTCAACAAGGTCAGGTTACTTGGCACAGAATTTACAGATTCAAGAATTGTCGAAAAAATTCTTATAATTGTGCCTGAAAGATATGAAGCTTCAATAACCACCTTGGAGAACACAAAAGATCTGTCCAAGATCACCTTGGCAGAGCTATTAAATGCCTTGCAAGCTCAAGAGCAACGAAGACTTATGAGACGAGATGGTGTTATTGAGTGAGCTTTGCCAGTCAAGCACCAAGATGCCTGGGGAAATTGTAAGAAGAACTCTAAGCAGAATCAAGTCTCAAGTTGTGAGAGCACTTCAAACAACCACAATCAAAGCAAGGGTGGAAGCTTTAAAAGAAATTATCCCCCTTGTAAGCACTGTGGTAAAATAGGTCATCCACCATACAAGTGTTGGAAGAGACTAGATGCTAAGTGTAGCAAATGCAATCAGCTTGGACATGAAGCTGTGATTTGCAAAAGCAAATTTCAAAAGCAAGAAGCAGATGCCCAGGTTGCTAATGAAGATGAAGAAGATGAGATTTTCATGGCAACATGTTTTTCGACTGGGAACTCTTCAAAATGTTGGCTAATTGATAGTGGTTGTACAAACCACATGACTTATGACAGAACTCTCTTTAAGGAGTTGAAGCCTACAGGAATCACAAAGGTCAAAATTGGAAATGGTTGTTATATTCCTGCAAAAGGAAAGGGGAACATTGCAATTACTACAAATTCAGGTACAAAAATAATATCTGATGCTCTTTATGTACCTGATATTGATCAAAATCTGTTGAGTGTAAGTCAGTTAATAGAAAAAGGATTTAAAGTGTCCTTTGAAAATTGGTACTGCCACATCCTTAATGCCGCTAGACAGGAGATTTTGCGAGTTAAAATGAGAGGTAAAAGTTTCTCATTTGCTCCAACGGAGGAGGAACATACAACTTATACCACCAAGGTTAGCAACACCGAAATTTGGCACAAGAGGCTTGGGCATTGTCATCCTCAGCGGATGTGGAAAATGAAGAAGAATGATATGATAAGAGGCCTACCTACTAATCATATACCAAACTGTCATGCACGTCAATTTGGTAAACAAAATAGGATTCCATTTCCTAAATCAACTTGGAGGACCTCCAAATCTCAAAGATTCACTCTCCCTCACTCTCAAACATTATATTCCCTTAGCAAGCAACATACTGTATCCAGCAAGCAATGAAAAGCCCTTTCTTCGTCATGTGGTGGGGGACTCTCTTTCTCTAACGATAGCCGAGTCAAACGAGGATTTCGACTCTCTTATTGCAAATTATGCACGAGATGCTGATCAGTTCTATCCTTTTGTCCCTCAACTGCCTCCACCTAAAGAGGAGCCTGAGTATAAAACTTTTCCAGTCTTCTGTGTACAGGTAACTTTTTTCCCGAGTCACGGCGTATGTATTGGTTTTACCAACCATCATGCTATAGGCGATGCGAGTTCAATTGTGGGCTTTATCAAGGCTTGGGCTTCAATCAGCAAATTCAGGGGAGATTCGCAGTTGATTGACGCCAAATCCTTGCCTCTTTTTGATAGATATGTCATTAAAGATCCTCGTGGAATAGGAGATTTATATTGGGACCAATTGAAGAATTTGTCGTTGCAATTCCCACCTTCGCATTTACCCATCAATAAGGTTCGGGCCACGTATATTCTCCACCAAGCTGATATCAAGAAACTCAAGGATTCGGTTTTGGCTCGAAAACCAGATTTAGTTCAACCTTCCTCTTTTGTAGTTACGATTGCCTATGTCTGGACTTGTTTGGTGAAATCCGGGCCAGTTAGTGGGGAGAAGGTCGATGCAAATGAGTCCGAATACTTCAGTTTTGCAGTGGATTGCCGGGAACGCATGAATCCACCTGTGCCTACTAATTATTTCGGCAATTGCATAGGAGTTGCAATTGTTACAAGAAAGCACCATGAGTTGATAGAAAATGATGGATTTTTCATCGCAGCTGAGTCAGTTGCAGAGATCATTCGAATAAAGGTTAAAAACAAAGACGAAATGATGAAAGGTGCTGCAAATTGGCTAGCAGAAATGGGAGAATTATTGATGGGAAAACGAAATCTTTCAGTGGCTGGATCACCTAAGCTCAACTTTTATGACGTGGACTATGGATGGGGAAGGCCAAAAAAGATGGAGGCGGTGTCTATTGATGGAGATCATGATTCCTTTTCCCTCTGCAAATTCCAGGACTCTGAGGGAGGTTTGGAGATTGGATTATCTTTGCCCAAGACAAAAATGGATGCTTTTGCAGCTATTTTCGCCAGTGGCTTAGGGGTTTTATCAAAGGAAGTTTTCCATTCCGATTAAATCTCCCATACAACTTGCTTCTGGAATTTGTCCAGTATGAAGGTTCAATTTCTCATTATTCAAAGTTGATAATTGAAATGTTTATTTTGATTTACGCATGCTGAAATAATGGAAATGATAATGTGGCTTGGGGATTGTCGGTCCAATGAAATGTACTTTAGCATAGTTGGATGAATGAATAATTCACTAAGGAATAAGGATTTTACATGCCATTCTATTATTTCCGTTTATTCAATATTGCCTCCATTGGAACAAAAATCAAAGTTCAGCTATTTACTTGAAAACAATTGTCATCACGTTAGCTTTTTCAATCAATAATTGCAACTACCCAATAATTTTAGAGGCACGAAAAATTTGTTGTAACATAATGATGTAATGAATTCTCTAGCCTCTCTTTTCAATAGGTGATATACTTTTTAATTCTTATATAGTAAAATAAGTTTTATGGTCATATCGAGGGATATTTTTACTTGTACAATATATGAAAGATGGCTAATCTTATTGGGCCAACCAACAACAATTGAAAATTATTAATGGATTAGAGACGTTGTCTGCGATGAGCGTTGACTATATTTTCAGCCTAGATAACTTGAAGTTACGATTAAAATTTGCATCGTTTTTAACTTTAATCTCTAATCTTTATTTTTTAAGAACACTAGTACTTTTTAGTGGCAGTCAAATCCCCACGTTGCTATTACCAATTTATCTCGCAAGAGAACCTATCCTAAGTAAGTAACATGATGAATTGATAGTCCCACAAAGATTAATTATGATCCTACTTCAATTAAATTAACTCCACCAAGAATACACATATAATTATGCCGGTGTTGAGTTTCTTTTTCCTAATTAACAACTAACCAAAAAAAAATAATAATAATAAAAATAAAAATAAAAAGATCATATGAAAGTTAGAGTGAAATGCAATCAAACAAAGCACTAGGATTACGATTTCACTGTTGCAATCCTAATTCAATTCTCAATTACCTGTAATTGTTAACTCTTGCCTAGCTTAAAATCAATTATCCAAATATAATTAAAAGTCTCTCTCAAGATCAATTAATTGTTCATTTTTATGTGAACCCAATGATGTATGATAAGTGGGTTTTGTACACTTATTTAGGCCTCAAAACATGGACAATTGTTAGTAATTATATTGGAATATAGCTTAGCTATGTATAAGTTATGTTTCGTAGGACAACATTAATGAACGTGGCAAGTATTAGGAGGATCAAGTGAAAAAGGACCAAAATGGAAGAAAACTAAAGTTCGGAGACCAAATTGAAAATAGTTGAAAGATGACCCGGAAGCATAAATGGGGATGTCAAAGAGTTAAGGACCAATTTGGTGAAGATATGTAGTGTTGGAAGAAGAAGAAATAAGAGATGAGAAAATGGAGCTAAAGGACTAAAATGCAACTTTTGGAAACTTTGAGAGCATAGTAGAATCTCCATACAGTTGCATACATGGTTTCCAACAACTTTGAGAGCATAGAAGTAGACAAGAAACGCGAAGAATAACCCAAATATTGAAGATTCAATTCAATAATTAATGGTGTGATATCGTTTCTTTAATATTCTTTTTGTTTTCTTATTTCCAGCATGCTATGCTAGATTTATATGTGCTAGGAGAACGACGAATCATGTGATATGACTTTTTAACATTTAGTTTTATATGTTTGACATCCAAAACACGTTTTTGGATTTTGAATGGTTTATATGAATTTCTTTTCTCCATGATTATTTTGCACAGTAATTATGTGAATACAATGGCTTATTTATACATTCGAAAAGAAGGAAATAGGCTCGACATAGTATAAATCATCATATGGTCCAATGAGGGATAGAAATATACCGCTATACTCTGTGTGAATATTTAAGTGTTCATAAAAATTTATGCATTCTTGTATATTCGCATTTGTCATATAAATATTTTCGAATCATGTATGAGAATGAATTCAACATTACTCGAGAGTGGTTGTTGAATAAAATAAGAATATTAATTCATCAAAATTTAACCGTGTTGTCAAAGTGTAAAACTAAGCTTAAAAGGGATTATTGTACAGGGATTCGTCATTCATTATAACACTTCAACTTGTATTCAACAAAATTTGCATTTAGTTTAATTAATACATTTAAATTTGCATACGTAAGTTAGTTTAGTTATAATTTTCATTAGAACAAGCACTCTCATTTTAAATCAATCTCTGTGGAGCGATATTCAGACTCAAAATTCACTTTATTACTTGTTAATGAACCATATACTTATGGTGGGCTTAAACCAAAATATAATTTCATGAACAATGTAG